GTTGGTGACTCACAAGGAGACAGGCGCTTCCTGCAGCCCGAGCTCAGGCTCCAAACTCTGAGAGAGGAGCAGGACACAGCACATGCTCCCCTTGGCATCTCCCACGTCTGGCGCAGGTGGCTCCCCGCCTGGCACCTGCCTTTGTGGCTCTTCCCATTCTTAGACTCCCGGCTCTCCCTGGGCACTGCAGGGAGCCAAGGTGCCTAACTCAGGCTTTGTGGCTCAAGGGTTTTCCTGTCATTTTCTAGAACCTACAAGTTAGGAGCTGTGACCATCTGCATTGCAACGCCTGAGTCTGCTGAGGGTTCGGGCCCTGGTGACCTGATAGCGCCACCGCTACAAAGCACTCAGGCCACATGACAACCACCTTCTTGGGCTGGGCATTTAAATACAGAAAAAGCAAGCTCTGTGTGTGGATAGGGGGCCTGAGGAGCCTGCTAGGAAGGAGCAGAGCCATAGGAAAGAAGTTTATAAATAACCAGTGATTGTCTTGACTTGCAAACTCTTTGGGGGAGGGGCTGTCTAGTGTAAAAATGTCATTCGGAAGGCCAAAAAAGAATTTGAGGAACAGCTAGCCAAAGATTCAAAAAGTAATAGCAAAATCTTTTCAACTACATCAGAAGCAGGAATCCTGCTAAACAACCAGTGGGGCCATTGGACAATTAAGATGCTAAGGACGATAAGGCCATTGCGGAGAAGCTAAATGAATTCTTTGCATCGGTCTCCATGGCTGAGGATGTGAGGGAGATTCCCAAACCTGAGCCATTCTTTTTAGGTGACAAATCTGAGGAACTGTCCCAGATTGAGGTGTCATTAGAGGAGGTTTTGGAACAAATTGATGAACTAAGCAGTAATAAGTCCCCAGGGCCAGATGGTATCACCCACGAGTTCTGGAGGAACTCATATGTGAAAGTGAACTTCTCTACCTATGGTCGTTGCTGGCCTGGTTGACTTAGTCTTGTTGTCTTCCTGCAAGGTATCATCGAATCCACAGGCCTCGTAGTCTGTTTTATTCCTGCTGATTTTCATGCCATTTGTTTCAAGCAGACACCTCTGTCTTGCTAAATCTTCTTCCGCTTGCTCTTTGCTCTCCCCTGTGAGCACTACGTCATCTGCAAAAATCACGCACCACTGTGCACGCCGCATGTTTTGTGTAAGTGCATCGAGCGCCAATGGGAACCAAAAGGGGCTACTGCGGAGCCTTGATGTGCTCTGACTCTTACTAAAAACTGTTCGGTTTCTCCACATGGCCTCCTGACCGTGGTAACAGCACGTACCGACGGCGCATGTCCCAGACAAGTCTGATGTAGTCTTCAGGCATCGGTTTCGTTCTCATACACCACCAAATGACTTCTCTTGGAACGTGGTCATAAGCCTGCCCAACATGGATGAGTACTGTCCGCAGGGTTTTCTACTTTTCTCTGTATTTTTTCCACAAGCAATCGTAATGCAAAGAGAACATCCATTTGTTCGGTTCCGGTAGAACAGCTCCCAATTTGTTGGGTACATTTGTGAAATGGCTAGAATGTGTGGGACAAGATGGGTGAGATAAGCTTTTTGAAAGCGAGGAGCTTTCGAGCCACACAGAGCTCTTACTGAGTGGTGCATTTTTGGGATGTAATTGGAGCTCCCAGGTGCCCCCAAGGCCATTCCCCAGAGTGTCAGCACCCAGCCTGCACCCACTGGTCTCCTTCCTGGGCCTGGTGACCGACGGGGATGGTTACAACTGGGGAGGTGGCGACCGAGCAGCTAAACAAAGCAGCGGTGCCATCTGCTCCAGAGCCGCTCCCTGCCCTTCCTGCGGGGCGAGGCTGGCGCAGAGATGGCACTGGCTGATCCACTGCGTGGGTGCAGGGAGTTCCCTGAGGCTGCCTCCGGTGCTGGGCCTTGTCCCTCTGTGTGTGTTGGCTGGGAAGAGGATGCTCAGGACGGCCTGAGCCTGGTGTTCGGTGTGGGGTCGTCAGGAGCTGGGGGACCGAGTGCTTTCCACCACCGGGGGTCAGTGTCACTGGGGCAAGGCCTCCAGCAGGGACGAGTGATCTGGGGGACCCCTCTGGGGTGCTTTGAAGGGGCCCGATTCCCAGAGGTGGGTGCTCAGCACCCTTTGGAATTCACCCCTCCTCCGAGGTGTGTTGTTTGCCCTGCAGCGGCTCATCACCGCTGAGTCTTGGCCCCCACGTGGGCGGCTGCGGCCCAGGGAGGGGAAGTGAGCTGCCCTGGCCACCCCGGCACAGACCTAGTGCTAGGGCCACCGGCTGTGCGGTTCCCGGAGCAGCCCTGGGGCAAGCCAGAGAGCACCCCGAGCCGTGGGGCCTGGTGTGAGACGGGAGCCTGACGTTGCCAGTTAGTAGCATGTCCCGCGACCCCACTGAAGGGGCAAGCTCTGACTGACTCTCCCACGTACTGGGCTGCAGGGCCTGGCCTCGGGCACTGGGGTGTCCTGGGGGACCCTGGGCACCGTTAAGTAGCTCAGCCTGTGCCTCATCCTAGCCGATAAAGCTGGGCTGAGAACCCCAGCCCCTGGATGAAAGGGCAGCGCTCCCCTGCTCTGATCCCTCTCCCTCTGTGTCCCTCCCAGGCTGGTCCGTGCCCGCTGCAGGAGGAAGGGCTGGCAGGAGGCGTCGGTGCTCTGCATTATTTACAGCTTTGTGGGCAGCATGTGCAACACGATCGGGGCGCTCCTGGCCAAGCAGCTCGCCATCCAGGTACGCAGGAGACGTCCGGCCTGCCCCCGCAGAGGCCTGCAAATCCTGGAGGTCGGGCATGGGACAGCCCCCAGCCCAGCCCCTGCGGCCAGTGCAGGATGTTGGCTAGGGCTTTGGCCATGGTGATGGCGCTCCCTGTGCGCCCCTGGGCCCAACAGAGCACAGAGTACTGCCCCAAACCCCTCAGCCCTGGCCAGGCACAGCTGTCCCTGGGCGCCTTGCCTGGGGGCTGGAGGGGGCAGGTTCCCTGGCTGAGTTCTGCCCCTTTGTTCCACCAGATGCCACGGACGGTCCCCCCACCACGAGACCCCGCCCCAACTCCCCTGAGGTAACCGCAATCCCAGGAGGCCAGCACAGATCCAAATGACAGCTCTGATCCCTGGCAGCCCCCCGCTATGCGGGCAGCCAACTCTGACACAAGGCCCCCCCCCCCACCCCAGCCACGGCTGCCTCAGGGCCCCCTGCTGAGGAGGGGACTCCGGGGTGAGGATAACGCAGGCTCGGCCCAGCTATCTTTCCCTTGTAAACTGTGCTGGGGGCCGTGTTCGTTGCCCTGCCCTGCCCAGCCAGGCCTGGCCCCACAGAGACACCTCTGGAGGGGACGAGGGGACGGTGGCAGGGAGTGGGGCGGTACATGGGCAAGGGTCCCTGCCCCACGCAGAATGGGGGCCTCAGTCCCCCACTAATGATATGGCTCTTTAAGCCTCGGTGCCACTCTCTGCTGCACCTTCTTCCCCTTGACCCGGAGCAGTCGTTCCGGGGCGGGCGTCTCCCTGGCTGAGTCACTGGAACCCGGAGGCAGGGGTTGGGTGAGGCTCACACTCCCCACCCTGTTTGTCTTGTTCCTCAGGGCTGACGGAGTAACAGCTGCTTCCCTGAGGTGGAGCCATGAACAGCCAGAGCTGGTCTGGGAGGGCCCTGGGCCCAGCCTTGCTCACTGCCGGTGTCTCCTCAGCGCAGGGCGATTGGTCACTCCCAGCATTCACGGCTGGCGCTCGGGGTATGTCCGCACTGCAGGCAGACGCCTGCGGCTGGCCCGGGCCAGCCGACTCAGGCTCTGGCTAAGGGGCTGTAGAATTGCGGGGTCCATGTTCGGGCTCTGGGACTGTCCCCCCTTGCAGGGTCTGAGGGCTTGGGCTGGAGACCGAACATCTACCCTGCAATTAAACAGCTCCTTAGCCCGAGTCTGCTGGCCATGGGTGTGTAATTGCTGTGTAGACATACCCTCAGAGGCCGCGATAGCTGCATTAGAAAGAGACACAAGGAGACACCCAGTCCTTGTCCCTCCCAGACAGACCATCCATCCCAGTGTATCTGGCCTGGGGAGATGCGTTCGTTCTGTGAGCACGCTGAGTTCTGCCCCTCTGGCTCAGCCAGCAGTCCCTTCCCCGAGTGCATGGGGCAGGCGGGATGGAGGGGACCCAGGAGCGCTGCTGCCTTTAGTTCGGCCAGGCTGCGTGGGACTTTGCTCTGGTTTAACCAGTGGTGCGATTCTTAAGCCCAGCTAGTGAAAACGTGCACGATGTTCTCTTCTCCCACATGGGGGCGCCGCAGGCCCTGACTTGTGCGCACCGTTCCCAGAGCTGGGCGTGCAGACGGGCTGCGTGTGTGGACACACGGACCCCCCACGGCTGCAGGGGAAGGAGGCACGTCAGAGCTGGAGTGGCTGTGCCTTTACCTGCTCGGAAAGGGGGCTGTACGCCACGTTCTTCCTGAGCTGAGCGGGAATGTGAGAAACGGGCGAGCACGCAGGCCAGCCCCATTGCTGGGGGGGGAGACCAGCCTCACGGCGCTGCCCTGCAGGGCAGTTGTCCCCACTCCCAGCCCCTGGGCTGTTGCTCAGAATGGAACAGCTCCTGCAGGTTTTTCACGGCAGGGCTTGCTGGGGCAGGCAGGCTCTGTGTTATGCCCCCAGCGCTGTCTGCGCCTTAGCACAGGGACGGTTGGAGCAGCACTGCCACCAGCCACTGTGGCAGAGGGTTCGGAAGCTGTTTGAAAAAATTCCTTTTGTGCTTAAATTCTGCAGGCAGGTTCCTGGGGCCGGGATGAGTCCCTGACCCTGTCTGACCTCGCTGCGGAAGTTCCTCTCACTGGGAGTTCTTGGGGGGGTGCAGGGCACTCTTGGGGGCGTTGGACCAGACTCTGGTGTGCTGTGGCCAAGAGGCTGTCTGCAGCGGGGGCTGAGAAGACGGATACTGTGCACTTCACTGGCTTATCTGGAGTAAAATCTGAACTCTGTGTCATACTCCAGGGTCTGCCCCTGCCTGGCCTGGGAGCTTCGGAGCCCACTGGGGTGACGTTCGGCACCATGGGCTGTCGGCCAGGCTGGGAGTGACAGAACTCCAAGCACTATAGCTCAGGAGAGCCGGTCACCATGCCAGGCCTTCGTCCGCCCCTGACAGTCAGCTGCTGGCTCTCCCGGGTGTCGGCTAGATGGGCAGAGTTTAGTTCAGTCCAGAGCCTGCCGCGGGAGCTGTCTGCCCCATTGCTCTGGCCTAGGCTCTCTGCAGCAGGCCCTGTCTCTGCCATGGCCCATGCCACTGTTGGTCTGGGGGAGGCCCAGGGAGCGCTGGGGTCACCCGAAGGCTGCCACAGAGATCTGTGCTGAGAGCTGGGGACCGGAAGTCGGGACCCATCTGCTCTTTCCCAGCTCTGACACCTGCTGGCTATGTGACCTTGGCCAAGTTGTTCACCTCTCCGTGCCAGGGCCATGCGCAGAAGGAGGCTGATCTCCTCCTCTCAGGGCTGTTGGGAGACTGGTCCTCACTGTCCATAAAGCGTTTCCCCATCCTGGGATCGTGGCTCTGATCCGATTGGTCTCTCCGCAGGTCTTCATAGGGGCGTACATGGCTGCTATCGACATCATTCACTTCCTGCTGACTCTCTTTCCTGTCTGTGCGTCCGACCCCAGACCCACACCAGGTACGTGCCCGGCGGGTCACCCTGTCCTGAATGGCAGGGGCGGGGCGGAACCCCAGGCGATAACCTGGCCCCTCCCCAGACTAGATGCATACAGGAGTGCTGGGGGCCCCGGGCGTGCTACAGGGGCTGAATACGTTCCAGGCCACACCGAGGGCTGGGGAGATGAGTGGTGAGAAGCATGCGGCTGGGAGGGGGATTTGGGGAGAGGCCTGGCTTGGAAGGCTGGATGCTGAGGGGGTGGGGGCTGGGCGGGGGCTTGGAGGCTGGGCTCGGAGGGGGGCTGGGCAATGGGGGTGGAGGCTGGGCTTGGAAGGGGGCGGGGCGAAGAGGGTGGAGAGAGAGGGCTGGGTGCTGGGAGGTGGAGGGAGAGGGCTGGGTGCTACCTAGGAGGCGGGGTTGGCAGGGGTAATACAGGGCTGGGAGACGGGCAGGATGGGGTGAGGACGATGCCCCCACTCCCAGCACAGCCAGTGACCGGGGGCAGGCGAGCTCTTGGGGGACGAGGATCCCGTTTTGGGGAGATGTTCTCCAGCAGCAGAGGCCGGTGCTGCCGAGGACCCAGTCCCTACGCTGAGCTCTCGGCTGGTGCTTGCAGTGCGGGGCCGGTTCCCCGACAGGCTTTCGTTATGTCTCCCGGCTGAGACTCTGTGTCCTGCGCAGCTCCGCCCGGCAGGAGGAAGAGGAGGAGAAGACAGGTGAGGAGCAGCCTCCTTGCGCTCGCTCTGCCCCTGTGCACGGGCCCCGGCTGGTACGTCCTGGCGATGGCCACCTCATCCTCCCCCGAGGAGTTCCACGGCGCACAGAGGAGACTGCTCGGGACGGCGCTGCAGGTAACGCAGCTCCCGCTGCCTGTGTCCCTCTGGGCTGGCAGGGATCCAGCCAGGGCAAAGCTCCCAGCGGCAGCTCCTTTGGTGCAACCCCTCGCTGAGCCTGCTGGGGCCGGGGGGGGCCTGCCTGAGGGAGCCCCGGCCAGGAGCTGTGTCAGGCCGCCGGCGCTGGGGGGTGGTTTCGCCCGCTGAAGTTAGAGGCGATTAGGCTCACAGACATCAGAGTTGGGAAAGGGGGCGCTGCCAGGCCCGGGGGCGCAGGGGCTTGTCTGCGCTAGAAGGAACAGGGTGAGGCAGCACGTGGCTGTGTGTGTCGGCCGGCAGGCGGGCCGGACGGGCCCATCGGATTGTCTGTCTCTAGCTCCCGTCATTCCGGGAAGCGCCGCTGCTCTAATGAGCTACCGAAGGGCGAAGCTGTGGGGCTCCAGAGAGCCCTAGAGATGCAGGGGAAGGTTTGTCCCATTGTGCACAGTAGACGCTAGGCCTGGCGTTTCCAGGCTGCCCTGGTGGCCCTAGAGAGCGGGAGCCGTGGTGGGTCCAGCAGTCGCGGGAAGGCAAGTGCTGTGCGGGATCTAACAGCTGTCTGGGCGGATTAGCACATGGGGGTGACACGCAGTGCCTGGTGGGGCCCCTCTGCTGCGCAGCGGGGAGTGCCCTGGGGGCTCCCAGTGGCTCAGGATTTCTTACCCTCCCATCCCGCAGGAGAACACGGAAGTGCTGGGATTTGCACTGGGGATGCTCGCTGCGCTCGTCGCCTTCACGGCCAGGGTCCCTGCGCTGTCTGGAGCGGTAAGTGGGCTGGCCGGAGCTAGGTAACGCGGAGCCCAGCACAGGGCGGGAGCCCTGGTGGCCGTGCAGTGCACGTGGCTCCATGGCCTGGGGACAGCGGGGGTGCACAGCAGGAGGGGCACAGCCTGCGAGCTAGCTCCAAACTGGGGTGTGTCGCCACGGCGCAGGGCTGCAGCCACAGCCCCGTGGGGCCTCTTGCCCTGGTGCAACAGGGCCCTGGGCCAGTGTAGATGTGGGTCTTGTGGCCCCTCCCGGCACGCTGGGGCGTGGCACTGTCTCCTGGACAGCCCCTCCCTGAGTGTCCATTTGCCAGGGTGAGTCCCACCCACTGTCTTCCCCCTGCCCGGGCCTCCCTTCCCAGCCTGCCACCGTCTCCTCAGCGCTCACTCCTGCCTTGGGGCTGTCGCCCCGATGCTCCACGAGGCCCAGGGACTCTTATCCCGCACCCTGTCCCCCCTGCTCCCCAAGTCTGTCTGTCTGCTCCAACCGCGCTGCCCTGCAGCAAGACTCCTCTGTGGCCTGGGCCACACTTACAGCACAGTCTGTCCCTGACGGACCCGAGGGCCTGAGCCCACTCATGGCAGCAAACCTGTTGTGTCCATGGGCCTGCTCGGGTGTGAGTGTTTGCAGGCTCAGGGCTGAGCCGCGATCCCTGCTGCTGCCTGGCAGGCCTTGCTCGCCCTAACCAGGGTTTGTTCTGCCCCTGCTGCAATAGCAACACGATCCGGGATCGACTGGGCTGCTCCCTTGGGGACCCAGACTGAGGGGTTTACCTGTGCCCCTTGCCTTGGGCTCAGACCCCAGGTCGGTAAGGCCCGTGGGGGGCGGAGCATGGCAGCATTCACATTGCCCTTGCAGGGTGGTGGCCTAGAAGGAGGCAGTGCCCCTGACCCCCGTGTCTGCGTGTTTGCACAGAGAACGGTATTTGGCTGTTCCCGTCTCGCTGCAGAGGCAGATAAATGTGGCTCGGGACACGGACCGGGCTGCAGGGACGGCCGGGCCAGATGGCAGCTCCCAGCCTGCAGACAGCTATGCGCAGTCGCTGTGCTTCCACTGCTGAGTGCACTGCGCTGTATCTGCTGCAGGGTGCTGCCCGGCAAAGCAGGGACTGGCCCTGCTGCCATGGGTGCCCCACAGGGTGGGGGGATCGGCTCGCGCTGATTCAGGGAGCCAGTCTGACCTTCACCTGCTTTCTGCAGTGCAGAGGGAGGCTGTCTCCAGGGACCCAGCTCTGGGCCAGCGTCTCCTCGGCCCTGGCCAGCGTCCTGTATGCAGCGGCCATTGTGACTCACGACCAGCGGCCCGCGTACTTTGTGAGAGCCATGCCCTGGCTCCTGCTCGCCCTGGGCTCTGCTGCGCTCGATGTGGCTGTATCCTTCCCCGCCGGCCCCACGGACTGGCACGGGGGGTTTGGAACAGAGGCCGAGGGCCTGAGCACCCCTCATCTCCGGGGCACGACGCAGGCTCCAGAGGTTAGGCCCCTGGGTCTGATGGGCCCCGAGGGCTGCGGATCCTGCCCAAACCCCACGCCACTCTGGCCAGCTTGGTGGTGTGGGCTGGGCATTGTCCCTGAGCCCGTGCTGTGTAGCTCCCTTCCAGGCAGCCCTGTTGTGGGGCTGAGGTGGGGCCGGTGTTACCCTGAGACGCCGTCACTTCCTTAACCCTGGGAGCTCAGATCGCCTATCTGTCCTGCGTGATGAAAAGCCAGATGAGCCAGCGGCTGGGCCTTGTGGCTGAGGCCACAGAGACCCCGGCCACGTGGGCACTGCTGGCACAGGCAGAGGAGGAGGAGGAAGAGCCGAAGGGAACCGAAGAGGAAAAGGTTTCTCCTCCTGTCTCTGGGTTCTCCCCTGCCCTGCACCGTGTGCTGCCACTCGCCTTGCAAGGGGGGACGGCCGGGGGCCCACCCCGCGGTGCCTTGCCGAGGCATTAGGATGGGCGTGAGGCCCTTGCAGGGACGGCTGTGCCCGCTGCAGAGCTCGCTCCTGTGCTGCCCGCAGGCGGTTGGGAGCCTGCCGAGGTTTTTGTGCCTCTTGGGTTTGACGTTGGCCCTTTTACCCCAGCATCCTGCTACGTCGCTGCCCGGGACGCAGCCTGATCCGGGGCCCCGCTCTCCTCTCTGTGCCCAGCTGGCTCCCGGCTCCTTCCTCCCACCCCCTTTGGGGTGCTGCACAGCCCACGCTGACAGCGCCTGCTCCCCACCACCCTTCCTCTCCCTCTGCCCTGCGGCCCAGGAGCCTCCAGCTACTCTGGTTCTTCGTGGAGCCGGCCGTGACGCTCTGCTAGTTATACAGAGCCGCAGTGGGAGGGAGGGAGGGACGGGTCGTTGCTCCGGCCTCTATTGAAGAGCTCAGCCCTGCCGTTCCCAGTGCATGTTGGGATTTGCTCGCTCACTGCCCCCCCTCTCTCCAAGGCCCCCAACTGGCTGCCGCTGAGCATGTTCCCGGCCCCCAGGTCGCTCCACGAGGGGGCAGCCGTCGGCCGCTGCCTGGATCTCACCATCGAGCAGGTGCAGCAGGTGAGGCAGGAGAACCGCTGGGGCGCTGGGCGGGCTGACAGCAGCACGGAGCTGAGCTGCGGGTGGAAGTGAGAGGCTGGCCAGGATTGCAGCGGGCTGCGGGGGGCAGCCAGCCAGCGAGAGACTGGCTCTGTGGGTGCACACGCCTGTTCTGGGGTGACCGGGAGCTCATCGGTCTGCAGCTTTTGGGAGCCCTGCCCCCGTAAGCAGTGGGGTCTGCTACCCAACCATCTCCCCACACAGGCCTCTCCTCCGGGGCTCTCTGATCCTCCTGCTGTGCCCCTTGATTGTACGCTGGTAAATCCTGCTCCCTGCTACGTCCAGGCTGGCCGCGGTGCAGTGAGGCTGCCGGGAGATGGACAGACGAGTGCTGCCGACCCCGCCCTGCCGGAGCCCCCTGCCTACCCTCCAGTCCAGGTCATCCACGCCAAGCTCTCCCCCTCCAGCTCCTCGTACGTCTCCTCCATCAGCTCCGAGCTCGAGGTAGGTGGCTACCACCGGTCATCTGCACCGGATCCTGCGCTAACCCCAGCCTCTTGCCTTGAACTCGGCCCACGCTGCCTTCACTGGTGCGCGGCGCACAGAGCCGCTGGCCCCAGGCCAGGGACCGTCCCACCCAGGTGTGTGTGTGTGGCAGTGAGAGCACTCCCAGTGCAGGCCGGGTCCCCCGTAATTGCCACGGGATACGTCCAGTCACAAGAAGCCAGCTCCCCAGATAACCAGATATCCCCCCCACACACACACACACAGATGCCCCCTCCAGGGCTGCGGGAGGGCCCGTCTCCATCTCTGCCTCACTGCCTGCCGTGGGGCGGGCCGGAGGGCCAGGGCAGTTCCCACTCAGGCAAAGCGCCGCTTGCCATTAGCAGGAGCTATTGGGGCTGATTGTAGACTGAAGACTGAAACGGAGCTCAGCACGTAGTCCCTGTGTACTGCGTCGTAGGCAGGGCTGGGTGCGTCGCCCCGTATTAAACTCCACCTCATCTCCCAGGAGAAGACCCTGGTTTCAGTTGCTTCAGCCTTTGCCAAACTGTCACTGTCTGAGCTGAAAGTCCCAGGCTGGGGGCTGCCTCAGGCTGAATTGTATTTTGAAGATTTCACCCAAGATGGTTCGGCTGGTTCCAAGAACGAGGCTGGGAAATATGTTGTTTGGGCCAGGTTGAAAACTCGGGCGACTTTTCTTCCAAAAGTTCTAACTGACGCGCAGTTCTGGGGAAATGCCAGCCCCTCCCAGGCCTGCTTTGCTCCTCCCCAGGGGGAGATTTCTGCATCGACTCGCTGCTGCTGCTGCTGTCAAACTGCAAGATGTTTCATAGAAACTCTGCAAAGCCTGTCACGGTTGTTGGGGCGATCTCTGTCCTGAGCGACGTGCATGCAGCTCGCCCTGGAGCAGTGCCGTCCCTCTGAAGGTAGAATTCAGCCCACAGTGGTGTGATCCCAAGAGCTGGACAAGCCATGTGCACGAGGGAGGGCGGGGAGCAAATAGTGGACTATTTTATGTAGTTCTAAAAATGGGACCATTCTGTTCCAGAACGTAAATGGGAATGTTCAGCGTTCCTGTGCCATTGTTACAACCCGCCAGCACCCTGGGCTCTGGGCCTCTCCCCTCCTGTGGAAACGGGGCAGTGTATGCTCCTTGAGAGACGGGCCGATGCATGGCCCACTGCCCTTACTGCCCCGCAGCCTGACAGAACGGAGAGTGCAGAAAACCTCTGCCAGCACTACCCCCCCCGGGTTCCCCGGCCTGGTGCTCAGAGAGATTCCTGTCTGAGGCTGGCGTTTCTTACCATGTCCCTGGCGTTTCAGCAGGCGTCTCTGTGGGAACAAAGGGGTTTATGGCAGGAGATTACAGCAGGTCAAATCCCCTTCTGCCTGAGCTAGCACTTGCCTTGCACCGGGATCAGCACAGTTACCATATGGAGGGGGACGAACAAAAACACATTTTGATTCTATAAAGTTTGTTTTGTTTCGTTTCTGGTTTTTTTTAAAACACCTGCACCTGATAAGGAGCTGCACTGCACACTAGAAAGAATCTCTTTGGATGATTGGGGCGAGGTGGCTGGCTTGCACTCCATTTCCATAGGCTGAACGCGGTTTGACAGTCACTCCGTGTTTGAAAATAACAAGATGATTGAGCTCAAAGCAGCTGAAATACTCTTGGCAGGTAGGGGGCAATATTTCCAAGTACAGCCCGGAGCAGCCCCAGCTAGAGCATGTGGCTAGTTGGCAGAGCCAGGTAGCCTTCGCTGGCGTTCTGGGCCCTTGCAGATCCCACATTGAAATGGCTCCTGTGTTTGTTTGGACAGACTGGATTGTGTTTCTGTGACAGTGTCTCACACACCTTGTGAAATCATGTTTTCCTTGCAGTTGTTCTTCCCCCCCGGCTCACCTTGCACACTCGCTCGCCCACTCTCTTCGGCTGTTTTGAAAATAAGAACTCCCCGTATTTCTCTGCTCACTACAGCTTTCCTGCTCTCAAAAGCTGCGTGTGAATGCTCCCACGTGGCTCTCTCCACCTTGGCTAGGTACCAGAGCGAGGCATCAAGAGAAGGGATCTGGGCTGGGCTGTTCGGTGATGGCTGCTCTAGACCAACTCTTTTCTTGATCTTTGTTGTTCTTCTGCAGCAAAAGTACTGGGAGGCCTTAAACTCACAACAGGTCTGAAGAACTGTCACTTTGCTTTGCGCCGGGCCCACGACCAGCACTCCAGGGACACCCATGTCTGCCAAGCGTCTCTCACTTTAAATCCATGAAGCATTACAACTGAAGTCTGTCTTAGGTTAGATGCATGAGACATCACAAGCCCCAGAAAGAGGCCAGATTGCAGGGCAGGAAATAATCACTCATAAATTGAAGAAACATAATGTGCTTGCTTTGTCCTTAGTGCAGTCCCGGAGAGAGATTCTGCTCCCAGGCCCGCTGGTGTAAATCTGAAGGGACTCCACTGACCCTTAGCGGAGCTACTCTGGATTAGACTGTTGCACAGGAGTAGAGTCTCCCCCATGATCTCCAGCCCAGGGTCGTTTTTAGGTCACAGAACTAGTTGAGGTCAAAGAGGAGAGAAGTCGTCTAATCTCCCCTGAAGGAAGTTACCCCACCTCCAAACTGGCTTTCGCTGACTGGAGATAAAGTAACAATGATGATAAACTCCACGCAGCCCTGGACTCCAGAAAGCCGTATCCCCTGGGCTGGCACACATCAGCCGTGTGGCGCCGCAGCCAGCGCTGGGTGCGTCTTGTGGCTTCGCAGTTTTATAGCGTCTCCTGTGGGGCAGAGGGAAGAAATTCTGCCGATCCGTTCCTGGGAAGGAGACGGCTCAGGGGCTGGGGAGGAGAGGCGCGTCCAGCTCTGTACTGCTGGGAGCGGCTTGTGTGAATCGCTTGGTCTCAGTCCCGTCCATCCACTCTCACAGCTGGCGGAGAGGTCAAGCAAGGCTCGCGCTGTCCGTCCCCCTGAGAGGTGCCCCTCCAGGACAGATCTGGGCGCAGGCAGTGTGGAGTGAGCTTCTGTCCCCTGCTGGTATGCAGCGTGGGCAGGCAGATGCCCCCTCACAATGAACAGAGGCAGAAAGGGAGTTCACACTGACCTGTAGGATCCCAGGTACCGTATGTGTCACATCGAGCCATAGGAGTTGTGGGTGGAGCTTGGGGACTGAATATCGTCACTTTTCTCCCTGCTCTGCCCTCTGAGGGTGATCCCTGCTGCATTCTGGGAAGTCACGTGGGTCCGCAGTGCGGTGACTGACCTGGGTGTGTGGGTTGTTAGTGCGCTTTATCACGGCTACCCCGTGTCTCCCCCCGGTGCAGACCCGCCCTGTGTGACAAGGGAGGCGAATCGAGTTGCTCTGCCTGAGTGCTGGAGGAGTTTGTATGTGTCACTAAAGCACCAGGAGGGCTTGGTACACCTGGGCCGTTGTTCCACGAGCCCCGTTCGGGGGGCTGCAAGTCAGGGCGGGCATGAATTGGCATCTCGTGCTGTCACACAGCATTGCCTCAAGCCCTTTCTGAAGCAACGGCTTTAAATGGTGGACTTCAATCCATCAGCTGTGTGATTCCGTAGATCCACTGGCTAGTTATATGGGGGGCTAAAGAGGTAAATACTGCCTGGAATCCAATGGGCCTCGTTCTGCACGGCTGTGGGTACAATGCCGGAAACGTTCCTGACTCCAGAATGGCTGAAAGCCCTTCTGCTGATGTCTGCAGATATTTCCGAGGTCCGTGGTACTGAGCTGGAGCTGTGTTTACCAGTCAGGTGGCCTGTGTGGCACGAGAGTGTCCCCTGATTACCTCCCAGGTGAGGAACAGCTGTTCTGGACCACTCGCTATCGTTATCTCCTGACAGTAGGTTAGGTTCAAAGTGACAAACTGTTACTCCTCAGGGGCTGAGTGCTGCTCTGGAGAGAGCGCCGGCCGGCCGGGTATTTCTGGCAATGACCCGCAGACAGTGCAGCGAGCCTCATACCGACCTCTTCTCAACAGCAAGATCCATCGTCCCTGGAAGTAAAAGTTGGCTGAGGCTTCTCAGGTTAGCAGCCCTCGATAGTCACCTTAGTGGAGATCAGTCTCTGGTTATGAACTGAGCAGTAATGGCCAGAGCTGGTTAGAAAACCACCGAGAGGTTCTGGAGAGTTTTCACCCTGCTAGGATCCGACAGGCGGCTTTTCCTTTCATTCCGCATTTGTTCATGAACATTTTTATCGAAAATGTTTGATTTCAAAAATGTTTTTTCTCAGTTTGTTTCCCCCTTTTCCCTCCGTTTTTTTCCATTTTTCCGCTTGCAGTGGGAGGGGGAAGGAGAAAAGGAGGGAATGAAAAACCTACCCCAAAAAGGTTTCCATGTGGAGTTTTGTTGAAAATTTTTTTAAAATGAGAATTTTGTGACAATTTCTATTTTCAGATAAAGTTTGAATTCAGGTGGTTTTTCCCCCTGTAAAGCCGGCCTGAGCAGCTCCCGTGTGGCCAGTCTGCATCCAGTGGAGAGCAGACCCCACTTCCGTAGGAGCTCCGGTGCTACAGACCTGCCTTGTCCCTGTAACCCGAAATCCTTTCTCTTCGCAGTGGGACTTCGAAGGCATGAATCTTCAGTGGAACAGAAACGGTAGCGAGGCGCCAAACATCCAGCCCGGCAGCAGCTCACTGCAGAATGCAGGCTTCGGGTTTGATGTGAACGCCCTCAAACAAGCCGCAGCTGCGCTGAGACTGGGTGATAATGACGCCCCCGGGGCAGAGAAATCATAGCAGGTAACTCAAAAAACCAGCAGAAGAAAGATCCTCTGTAGAAGATCCCTGACAGGTCCAGGTTACAGCAGTACTGTGGGCCAGATCCGGGGATGCGGCTGGTTTGCACAGGGCAGGGAGTAGATGCAAATGTAGCTCAAGTCAGTAACAGGAGCACGTCCATCTCCCTGGCCGGAGTTGGGACTTCAGAGCTGCCAGTCCCAGGACAGATTCAGAGGAGAAATAACATGCTGATGTTTGACCGCAAGGGAACTGAGCAGCGTCGCAGGGCTTCTCCATTACTTCCAGAGCGGGTCTCTGGCAGATCTGCTCTGGTTCAGCCCCACCACTTGGACTGACAGTGGGGAGTCCTACGGCCTGTGCTGGGCATCTGTGTGTGGCTCCTCAAACAGCTGCTTCAGACTCAGCAGCCAGCGTCCTGGCTGGCGTGAGCAGGGGAAGCACAGGCCGCTGGCTCTGCATCACTTCCGCTAACAGTGTAGGTGGCCCCCACATCTCCCGTTATCTGCTTGTAACTGGCCGGATTCTGACCAGACCTTGCCTACACACAACAGGGTTTGCTGGCCAGGCAGAGCGAGGCTGGCTCGCACCAGCTCCTGGCATGGGGAAGCTCTGCTGTTCCTGAGTTACCTGCATGAGGGCGGTTGCTGCCCCAGCTGTGTCAGCTGTGGGGGGAAAGGGGGGGGGTCACACTCCCACTACCACAGCTGTGCTGGCCTTCGGCCTGGGGAGGGCCCTTGGAAAGAGCTGCAGGGGGAAGCAGGTTTGGAATCCCCGTTTCCTTGGCCAGTCCAGGTGCTCTGTCACCTCGGGGCCCCCCCGCGTGCTCTGGGCACTGGTATCACAGTGCCCCCACACGCAGATCACTGGTGTCTGAAATTGCTTGGTCGAACCGCAAGCCCCCTTTCCTCTGCACCTTTTCAAGCCGCTCCTTCTAGCGCAGAGAAGCTGCTGGGAGTGGGACGCAGCCGGCCGCCGGGGTGCACCCCAGGGAGAGCTGCGAGGGCTGAACGTTGGGGTGGGGGCGCTGTTGTGACCCGAGAGGATGGTGTGAAAAGCTGGCAGCAGCGGCTGTGTGTGCGGCGAGGCGGGGGTGCAGCTGGGAGATGTCAGGTCCCGCACTGCAGCAAACAGCAGGATGGTGCGTCCCGCCCTGCGTGAACGTGGAGCCAGCTCTGCCTGAGGGAAGGGGCGCTGGGGCAGAGGGGTAATGCCGGGCTCGCTTTGGCTGGAGGGAGCAGGCCCAGGCAGGTGTGGGTGGGAAAGGCTTTCTTTTTCTGTTATGCTATTGGGTCTTAGAGCAGCACCTATAGCCCCCATAGATTGATCTCCTATAGACTGTTCCGGGGGAGGGGTCACAGGCTCCCTTCGTCACATTGCGGTGGGAGATTGCAATCCCTGACCGTGTGCCCTGGTGGTTCTGCCCCTTCTGCTCCCCAGAGTCCCTCGCAGCTCCGCTCTGTTCCCCTGGCAAAGCTGGAACCCCTCCGCTCTGCGCCGCCACCCGCAGCCAGCCGTGCCCAGAGCCAGGCTTGGGGCTTGTTGAGCACTAGGCCCGATGAGCTACAGCAAACGGGAGGGCGGCCTTGCTGTGCATTCTTAGGACACTGAGCTGCCCTCACCCTCGGGCTCCACTCGCCTCACCCCTGGCTTCTGGGAACGCAGCACAGGCGAGAAGACGACATCTGACGAGAGCGTCTGACATTTTGTCGCTCCCAATCTGATTTCGCAGCCTCCAGCCTGCCTGGCGCTGCCCCCCTCCAGGTAGATGACCCATCTGGCAGCTGCCTAGGGCAGCGAACGTACAGCGATTGTTCAGGGAGCGAGCGACTGTGACCTGCGCTGGGTCAGACGCTCCCTTGGCCCAGAACAGCAAAACATTCCCGAGCCGGCGCTGATAAGAAACCTCCACATTAATATTTCTAATGGCTGGAGATTAATTGCCTGGTAGTAAAGCTCAGAAATCCAGACAATGCAAAGACTGGAAACCCAGGGGAAAGGAAATTCTTCTGCTGTATTGCCTTTTCCTATTCAGATAATGCACAATAAAATATGAGCGTGCAAGTCAGCGCCTGGGGAGGGCTGCCTCAGTCGTGTCCAAAACAGTACCAGTATGCCAGGAGAAACCCTGGAGCAAGTGCTCTCACATGTTGTGCAAGGGGGCAGACGGGCTCTGCTGCCTTCAGGGGGGTATGTAGTGAGCAGTCGTATTCATGATACTTTACACATCCCTGGTGTCTTCTCACCGAGAATCTCAAAGCCCCAGGCACCCGTGAACTGCTTGCGCTGCAGAACCCTGCGAGGATGTGGGCAGGTCTTTGTCCCAGGGGGAGATGGGCAAAGAGGTGGCTTGGAAGACTCAGGCAGGCAGTCTGGCAGAGCCCAGATCCCGTGTCGCAGGCACGTATCCTGTTACCGGGCGGCCAACAGCTCATACACGGTGGGGACAGGGAAGGGGAGATAGTGAATGGATGTTTGGACACCAGCAAGTGGGTCACGACGCCCTGTGGGGCAAATCCTGCTCCCACGAGTAATCCTGCTGGCCTCTGGGGGATCCCTTCCCTGGCCTAGCAGCGCTGTGCCCTGCGGGCAGAGGCAGTGACAGTGAAGTGTGTTCATGTGCCCCGCTGGCCTCCAGTGATTGTGTGCGTGATGGGTCTGGCGTTCTCTAGGCCTCAGAGGACCCCCCCCCCCCCCCCCACAGCCGCTCTGCCGCCTGGAACAATTGGAGCCTGGCATTGCTGGGCCCCGGATGGGAATAGGTGGGCTTAGGCGGGCCTGGGGAGGAGCTGGATTTTCAGGGTGGGGAGGGGGGTTTGCACGTCTGCTCACGTTTTGCCGTTTCACCGATTCATGGAGTTTAAGGCCAGAGGGGACCATTAGATCACCCAGTCTGGCCTCCTGCATCACACACGTCGCCCATTACCCCCGTGTTGGTCCCAGCAACTTGGGTTTGGCTCCAGCATCTCTGAGCCAGTGCGTTCAGGTGCATCGGGGTCTGCCTCCATCCTGCAATGCAAGGAGAGCTGGTTCTCCTCTGCTGACTCCAGGGTGCAAACCAGGGTGGCACTTGGTTGAAAATCTGCAAGCAGAGTAGGTGTATGAGAACAAGGGGTCAAAAAGCGTTTGCCCTTCCACAGACCTTTACTATAAAACTGAGTAAAGACTGGCTGTGATATCGGGGGGAGGGGCACTATGGGACCTTGAAGGGTCAGGCTGGGCAGGGAGTGGGGCTGCAAGATTTTCTTTGCTTTCGGTTAATAAAACGTTCAGTGCCTTGTGGCCCCCAGGCTTGTTTGTGAGCCCCGGGGGTCATGACCCATGGGCTGAAGGGGGTGAGGGGCTGTACAATCTTCAGCATCGGTTGGGGTGTCCCTGTTTGTCAGCATCTGGCATAACAGGAATGTCCGCCCCTCTCTGCCCTGGCCTGCAGCCCCGACGCCTCCCGTGCCTGCCTCCACCGGCCATGTCTGGGGCCCCGAAGCCGTGGCCAGCGGTGCTGCTGGAGATTAAGGGGCGAGTTCACTGTGCAGTGTTTTTCAAGGGGAAAATCCCTAGTCCTGCTCGGTGCTGGTGCTGTTGTGTAGCAACCCTCAGGCTGTGACAGGCACGCTGCTGCGGGGCAAGGTCTGGCTCCGCCAGCTTCCCTGCCACGGGCGGCATTATGTCAGTGGTGACACAAAGAGGTTCTTTGTGTCGGCCGGGCCCTGGCCCCCGGCTGGTGCCTCCTGCCCCTGCCTGCCCTTGGCCTAGTTACTCTGCATCACAGACGGGATCAGGCTATGTGGGAGTGACATACCTTGTGCCTGGGGTGCAGCGCCCCCCGGCCGATGGGGGATGCAGCCCCTGCTGGCTCTGCCCGGGATGGAGTCCAGCCCCGAGAGCTGGCGTTAGTTCATGGCACCGTTGGGTGCGTATCCCAGGCCAACAAAGGGGTGCTCGGACCCGCTCAGCAGCGTGTTGTGCTTCAGTGTGGGTAGCTGGTGGGTGAGCTCTGTGCTCCGGGACGTCCCATGCAGGGTGCTCATGTTCGTTACGCTCTGCCTGTGGAGCTCCTGTCCTCGGAGCTAGCCAAGGGCAAAGTCTCTTGGGGCCAGCGCTGGGGCTGGGACCTGCCGGGGGTGTGGTGAGGCTCCCGCTGCTCCTCAGGAGGTGCCCTCCCCCCGGGAAGCAGCGAGAGGAGGTGATGGACGTCACTGGATGGACGGGGGCTGGAACCCCGGTTTCACATCCCGCACTCCCTCGCCCATTCGGAGACCCCACCGCCTCGCCCAGGGACGGGCCCAGCGCTCGGTTCCCCTGGGGCCTGGCTGGACCAGGGCTGAGATGGAATTCCTGGCTCCCATTCGCCCAGGCCTGGGCCCTGTCGGGTGTGTGCACGCAACAGAGCGGTCATGGGACGCTCGCACCTCCGCTCGGCCTGTCTCTTAGCACCCAGGAACCGCGGTGCCCAAGGAAAAGCCCGGCACCCTTTGTTATCTCTGCACCCATAACTCCTGCCCTCGGCCTCCCTGTGCCCCGCCAGAACGACTGCAGCATTGTCCGAGGTAAGGTTGTGAGCAGCCCCGGGGCGAGGCAGAACCGCCCCGTGGCTATTGTGTCAGGAGCGCCGGGTGGCTCTGGTTCCAGCAGGCCAGGCCGGAGGAATGTGGCTCGGTGCCAGAAGCTGCTGATAAAATCTCTTCTTGCAAAGGAGGTCGAGTCCCCACTCTCCTGCCGGCGATGTAATCTGCTCAGCGCTTGCCGGGCAGCGATAACGGGCTCGGCCTCATGCGGCCCGGACTCCGCGCGCTCCGGCTGTGACCACAATGAGGAGCGAGCTCAGGGTGCCCGTTAACCTCCCCCAGCCCCTCCACCGCTTGGAACAATAGCCTCTGTGGGCGATTACGGAAAATCACATGCTTAGTCCAGCTGCAACCAAACCAATTTGTCAATGTCCCGTTTTCATTTCCCCCGATAAGACGGGGCCGGGGAGTACAATAATCCCTTCCTGAGAGACAGCTGTGGCTCCCCTCCCCAAAACACACACAGCAGGGAGGCTAATTTTGGCCTTTCTGGGCTCAGTGGGAGCAAGTCGCCGTTTTTCATTCCTGCTGGGGCTGCGATGCCAGGGGACGGGCAGGGAGCCTCTGTCCCAGAAGCTATCTGCAAATCAGAAAACTCTAGGAGTAATAGAGCATGGAAAGGTGGTTTCCATCTCCTGGGCTGGGCTGTGTGGGAATAGCCAGCAAAGATGAGGGATCGGTTTAGCCCAGTGGCAAGAGCGCTGGGCTAGGTGACAAACTCCTCTCTCTGCCACTCATTCACTGCCGGTTGGACAAGTCATTTAACCACCCCGTGCCTCAGTTTCCTCATCTGTAAAACGGTGGTAGAGCTATTTACCCTCCTGTGTAAAATGCTTTGAGAGTCTCCCGTGTGACAGGCCAAGCAACATTAGTAAAACACTGCGCATTTTAAAGCCCCTATGCCCACGTCAGAACGGTCCCCCAAACACGACACCGCCTGCTTCAGAAGCAACCTGCAGAGGGGAAAGAACCCACATAGCAGAAGATGGGTGCAAAGAGGAGTGAGGAGCCAGCCCCAAAGGATGCTGGGAATGCACCCAGAATGCCTTGGGCCCAAAGCACCGATTCCATTCTCCGCACCCACTGCATGTGCAGCCTCCCCCCCTGCTGGTTGCGTGAACGTTCCTTGCTCAGCCAGGAGCCGCTTGCTTCCGTTTCGTGGCGGTGCCGTTTTTCTCTCCTCACTTTTTTGGAACTAAAGAGCAGAGCAACTGCTTAAAGCTGCTGCTCCTCGTGCTCCTCCAGGAGCATGCAGCTTGCCCTGACGCACACCTCCAGGAGGGCGGGCATGCGGCTCTTTGCCACGCCCGCACTCAGGGCGGGGCACTCCGCTCACGGTTTAGTCTCCCCCGCCCCCCGAATTGTTCTGTTGCCTCAATGAGTTTTTGTTTGTTGTAGTTATGGAAAATCCCCTGGTTGTGTTATTTGCAAAGCTGCAACTCAGGCTTCACCGGCGTGTGGGATCTGGGCAAGGCCCTGAATGACCAGGAGGCCTGAGCCCTCCCACCCTGCTCCCCCAGGGCAGGCCTGCTGTATCAGAAGGGGCCGGTTTCACAAAGCCCCGTTTCAGAGCAGAACACTGTTTCAAAGCAGGATTTAAAAGAGGGCAGAGAAAGGCGGTACAGATTCAAGACTCCAGACAAACCTCCAGGGCATGAAGCTCAGGGAACCAAACTTATTATGGACAATAAAGACTAACAGATTTATTTGGGCATAAGCTTTTGTGGGTAAAAAACCCACTTCTTCAGATGCATCTGAAGAAGTGAGGGTTTTTACCCACAAAAGCTTATGCCCAAATAAATCTGTTAGTCTTTAAGGTGCCACCGGACTCCTTGTTGTTTTTGTGGATACAGACTAACACGGCTACCCCTGATATGGACAATAGAGAGGAGAGCATGCTTATAAAGTTCTCAGATGACACCAAGCTGAGAGGGGTTGCAAACACTTTGGAGGGCAGGATTAGAATTCAAAACAACTGTAACAAAGTGGAGAATTGGTCTGAAATCAACAAGATGAAATCCCATAAAGACAAGTGCAAAGTACTGCACTGAGGCAACTGCATCACTACAAAATGGGAATAACTGGCTAGTGGCAGCACGGCTGGACAGGATCTGGGTGTTCTAATGGATCATAACTTGAATATGAGTCAACAAAGTGATGCCGCTGTGAACAAGGCTAATATCATCCCAGGGTGTATTAACAGAAGTGTCGTATATAAGACTGTGACCGAATGCACCCCTGTATTCACACCCTACACACGACTGCAATAGTCTTTGTACAAAATATGCCTTGTGAGGTATCATTTGAATGCTACTAACTCACTGTCAATAACAACACCATGATGAAAGGTGCAGGAACATTCTATGTAGAGTTATAAACATAAGCGGAAATTGGGTCTGCAATGTGGTTACCAGACAAGCCTGGGGAAACCAGTTTCTCAAAGACAAAGGACAAGCTGGTGCCTCTAGCCAGGTGTCATCCAAGCTG